TACACTGCTAAATTAGGGACGGCTAGTGCAGATAGCCCTCGTGCAGCTTTGCGCGAAATTCAAAAACAAAACAAAAACAAACAAACCTGTCCATTCTATCTTCTCTCATTCCATCCTCATCCACATACTCCCCATCCTATTCTCTTGCTTGAGTCGAATCTGAATGAGGTTTATGAGGATCTCCATTCTCTTACCCAGGACCCTTTTAAACCTCTGGCAACTTGTTCAGTGTATCATCTATCCCTAATCACTTCTTTCTCCTTCTTGCTTGTGGTTGCCATCACTCAGATGTCTTATCCTCTCAAACTCTCTTCCACCACCCTTACCTTCTCATTTATCCTGACCAGTCTTTTCTTCCCAAGATTTCCAAAGCTAGTGAAGTTAGTCAACATTTCTTACATATTCCTTCCTTCTATTTCCCATCTTTGTGATTGCTCAGACCCAGACAGACTTTTGTGTCCTATCCAGATCATTCATTATTTATCTCACACTTCCTACTTTTGGGATTTCCATTACCATCTTTTCATTCTGTGGAACTCCTCCTCTACTAGACTTCTCTCTCCTACCACCCTTACTTGGCAGATTCATGTGGTCAGTGCCTCTTTTGGAATGGATGATGATCAGCTCTTTTATGTCTGTTCTCATCAAATTCTTCACCTCGCACATTCTCCAGCTGCTCATTTTCACCATCCATTGAATGAAATTATCCAAGCTGTCTTGTCTCCAGAGGGATTTAGACTTCCACTTATAGTCATTCTCCAATCCACCATTTGTCTTTAAACATGTGAATGTACAAAATTTTTTTTCACCTCATACTTAATATAAAATCCCACTAGGTCGCTTGTGATGCCTCCCACAGTGTACTTACCCAAACTCTGCATCAAGCCAGGATAGTAGAAAGTGCTCATACCATTTGCTTTGGTTCTACGTGTGCCCAGTGTGAGAATGGGTACTCTGCAAGTCCACTTAAGTATATACATATATATATATTACATTTAATGTCCAATCCAGACTACACCCATTTCATGGACTATCATGGAAAAACTCTCTTTACCTATGGGTTAACTGGAACAATAACATTAGTACATGTACCAACCATGCCTTAATCTGTGGGTTAACCTTATCAAGACCAATTGTTCCTGACTGTTCAGACTGAAGGACCAATGGGGATCTGGATATATTCTTCAGGTCTCTCCTATGCAAATTCTTCCTCCATTGTCAAGTGGAGTAGGGAAAATTCTTACCACTTACCAGTTTTCAGCCACTGGGGTGGTGAACATGGAGAATCCTCACCAATTGGGGTCTCACTGCTGTGAATATAACAAGAGGTCCCATTACAACTGCAAATGGAGCTGGCATGGCACCAAGACTGTAATGCAGGTATATATATGATAATCACACACATCACAATTTACA